AAGATGGCTAAAACCGTTCAAGAGGCATTGGCTAACGTTAGCTTTTTTAGCTGGGTTAACGTTAGCTAAATTAACTGAATGATAGCTAAGCTAGCTAGTATTAATAAACAACTTTGTGTGTAACTTAGCTAGCTTAAAACATTAATGTTGTTTAACGTTAACGTTACAACTATGTTGTTCTTTCCAACAGCACCAACTGACAGCACCTGTCTCCTTTTTAGGTTCAATCTTTTCTTCACCTCTGGCTGAGAGGCATTAATAGGGAAGTTAACTTAAGTATTTTTTTCCGGCTTTGATTTGATTTTCTAATCCTAGCTTTACAGTTAAGTATAACGTTATGATAGGCAAGTAAAGTGTTAAAAAAATCAAAGCCATCTAAAGAAGTTAAAACTTTCATCTGACATTAACGTTAATCAAAACGTAAATTCATATGTGTAACGAATTTTCATTACGGTGCATCCCTTGCTTTCACCTCTACAGAGTTTTGCTCAGTCCCTCTCTGTGAGCTTTCACTTTAGCTGATAGATTTTATCCTCGCAACGCTTTCCTTGCGGACCGAGGTGAAGTTAGTTTAATATTCAACATTCGTCGGTTTTCGCGCCTGTACATTCAATAGCTCCGTGTCAAAATCTCTATTTCTCCCAACTAACTTCACCCCGGTTCCTTTAGGGGGTTTTATTGCTGCCAAGTGTTCACACACAACGCAATAACACAGCTGTATCAACCCAATTTATAATAATTTATTATGTCACTAACAACTAAATGAGAGGTGAGATCAACAGACAATCTTACTAGGCACCAAATTACTTCATAGATGAAAATGTGATAATGCGGCATAACACCCCAACATATTACCACGGGGGAAATTACTTCACCACAACAGCCCTAGTTATCTTTACAACTAAATTATTATGTGTTAAGTGTAGGGCTGCAGCTAATGATGATTTTAGTAATCGACGCTTCTATAGATTATTTCAACAATTCATCGATTCGTCGTTTAAGAACTTGCTTGGCGGCGGCGCTAGCCTTCAACTCAACAATCAATCATGATTTCAATTAAATGCTAAAGTTGCTGTTACTGTTACCTTGTATGTGGTCCGCTGGCAGAACACTGGCTGCTTTCCAAGTAAGCATAGGGCTGTTGTCGAGGCGACATAAGTTTTGTTTTATGGTGGAGGGATGGTAACATTACAGAGTTGTTGTTTTCTTTTAGCTTGAAATAATCCCATACTTTGGACACTTTCTTCTTCGCCCCTCCCTATTTTCTCTCTTCCTCCACTTTGCAAACAGCGCCATCATAATCACGTTGTGTTCACAGCGTAAACGCGATGTGCGACAGTAAGAAATGTCAAAACAGTGTTCTGTATAGTTATATGGATTAAATGAAGCTTTGCATCGATGCAATTTAGTAATAGATTTAATCGATGAATTGTTTGAGCCCTAGTTAAGTGGATGCCAAATTAATCAGAGCACATATGTAACTGGGTGTGTTTTGTGATCTAGGCAATCTGGCTGGGTTGTCTTATTTCACAGTTTGATACTCAAATGTATTTGCACAGGCATTGAAAAGGGGGTTTTTTCATGATGTGTCCCCTCTAGGGCTGGACGTGTAATTGAAAAGTAATTGAAACCCAAATTCCAAGCTCTAACGGCTGTAATTTTACCATTTTGAGTTATTTAGTTTTATTTCCTGTTAAAATGTCCCCCAGTGTGTGTGTTTATGTACTTTCTCCTTAAAAAACTGTGTGTAGTCAGTGACTCCGCCTTGTCCTGCTCAGCTCCCAGAGTCTGGAGCAGGGAGATGTTAGCTAGTGCTAACTGCCTTCATTTTCTAGCAGCATTTATTTACGGACACACTTTGACCCACACTGTTCATTTACTGCCACACTTACAACAACCTCGCTCCCTTTCACCGTCATTTTCAGCTGCTCACTCTCTCACAGTTGGTCACATGCACACACAGCCATTAAAAGACCTAACTTGGCTGCTCTTATTACAGCACCTGTCGTGCAGATGTCCTTGTATGAATGAGAAGCGGAAGCGAGCAAAGTGTTGAGTGTTACACAAGATTAATGCGCATTGATATTAATTGATCATGTGAAATATTAGTAGCGGCACTCATTCAGTGAGCAGTGGCGATATGCCAAATTTAGGGGGAATACGTCTGTTGTGTGCATATCTAAATGTTAATTGATAAGATAATGTTGATGTTATCTTATCATTAACATTAAGATAATCTTTTTTTGACATGTATGACTCTAAAAAAAAACATTTCACCTACAATAGTTGAGCATGTTGCGGTACAAGCCAGGGTCAGTGAACTAGGAGAGAAAAACCCCAAAATAATCGTTCATTAGTTGCAATCGTGGTAAAATATTCACTTAATCAGGATTTTGATTTTAGGTCAAATCTTCCAACCCTAGTCTAAAATTACTAATCCACAGAGATTAGTAATTTTAAAGGGTTAAAATTACTAATCTCTGTGGATTTTATGTAATTTGTGATTGCCATTATCAGTTGAGTAATCACCCATTCTTTTATCCTTTGCAGAAATGAACGCATTGGCCATCCCCCACTCTTCCATTACTCATGATTTGTTGTTGTTGTTTGTCATGTGAGGGTTATGGCATTCCCACTTCTTGAGCTTTTTAACTAAGCCACACTGTTGCTATTCTTTTTAATACTTTAATTTAGTTTAATACTTCTGCATACTACTGCATTAATTTAAAAATAACACCTGTGTTATAGGTGTGTGGTTACTGTAATGTTACTAGAAACTAATTGACTGTAAAATGTGTTTATTAGATTGATTGTTAGTTTGGCAAATCTACTTTGTTTTACGTTTCTGTCCTGTCTTTTTATCTCAGTAATTTCAAATAAAATTTAAAATGTGTCACTCATCCGTTCACTGTCTTTGTTGAAATTCTGTGTAGGACAAATAGAAAAAGTCTTTGTAACAGAGTGTAACAGTAGCTTTGACTGTCCATGCTTTTTAAATTCAAAAGAAAGAAAAGTAATAAGAGATTAAATTGCAAGGAAAAAGAAAACCCAAGTACAACAAGAAATCTTAGTGTACCTTAGTGATATACAAGTCACTATTTGTTATACATTATACAGACCAGTCAGTTAATAGAAACAAAAATCAGTGACAGTTGCAGACTTACATCCTAAAATTGTAACAGTTCACTGGCATTAGCTCCTCCCATAAGTTCTGTGGTTGAAACTATCTCAGTAACCCTTTGGCCTCTCAGACAGAAATGCTATACCTTCACTGATATCTAATACTAGGACCCATAGCACTTGCTGAATCATGCACAACATCTGATGGCAAAAATTTAACTATCCCAGATCCAGTATGGAACTGGTCCAGATCAAATGACTACAAAATAATTCTCATCCGTTCTGGAGCTGGACCAGTGCCGGCCCAGATGTGAAAACCGGATCCGCACCGGCATTGGCCCGTTGTGCTAAATTGACACCGGCCTGGGTCCGTTTTACAGATCTGGCCCAGAACTTATGAAGGATCTGGGCCGCATGATTTTTGCTATCTGGGTATTTACTACATGGGCATTCGTTCAGCTCTGAGACCTCAGAGTTTGCAAGGTCACAATAAAAACCACCTAGTGGGATTCATAATCACTGTGCAGATCTTTGTTTCAGCACTTACCCACAGGATGGTTTGGATGTGCCCACATTACTCTGTGTTTAAACTAGACTTATATCAGAGCTGCAAACAAGGCACTCTTCAGAAACTTCAGGCTCTGTTATACAGTATATGGGTACTGGGTGTATGGCTCCTTATTTATCTTAAAGTATAAGGTAGAAAGTAAAAATACTCCTGCACACACAGAAATACACTGCATAATTACTTGTCAACATTTCATGTGAAACATGTTGGGAGTATTTTCACTTTTTAACTTATACTAGACTGATGTTCTTTAGCAAGAGTTCAGCTTTAATGTTTCATGTTTTATCTGTGGTATACGATTAGCTTTTCAGTAAGTAGTAAAGACAGGGAGTGCTAATATATCTAGAATTTATTACAAGTGAAACACAAACCAGATAATTTTTTTAAATGGATCTATGATACAAATATGGACAATATTTAAAAGTCAAAGTAAACAGAAGGAGAGAACCGGAGAGAACGCCTTTCCACGTCAGTCCACCACATCAGCACAATGAGGACTCCAGGGGCCTCATTTATAAACGTTGCGTACGCACAAAAGAAGGCGTACGCCGCTCTCTACGCAATAATTGGTATTTATAAAAAGCAAACTTGACGGTAAAATGTGCGGTCCTTCATGCAACCTCTGACCCAGACGAACGCACAAAAACGGGTGAAATGAGAAATGGCGACACCGTCGGCAGATGGAAGAAACACGTGAAAGTGTGTGAAACTGTAGATCGTTGTGTAAAATAAATGGCAATACTGCCTCTCATAAATAACACGAAGACTTCACAAAGCAAGTCTTACAATTAACAGCCTACACAAACACCCGTTTGATCGATCTGCAACAGAAATGCAAATTAACACATATTTCCAAAAAGAAAAGTGAAATATGTTCTGCAATAATATTGGCATGTTATACAATTCATCCTCATAAATAAGATGGTAAACAGAACAAAATAATGTACAAAACTGATATTCTCGCCAATGTGTCCGTCTGGCGGAGCAGATATAGATGCAATTAGATAGTCAGTCAGTCAGATAGATAGATAGATAGATATTATTTGTCCACTGGGGAAAGTTATTTTCATAGTAAAAATGTCTTCATCAGCTACGGAATCATGGTATTCATGCATATACCTTTAGTTTGTTTTATTTTTGATAAAATAACGTATGACATATATGTCTCAACCATTGAGAAAGCTGCAAGAAATTACATTTGCGCTGAACTATTTCCCATTTCCAAGTAGATTATAACCGACATCTGTAGTTTGTCAGATGCAATTAAATGGATGGAAATAAAATGCCCCATCACAATGTGTAATGACGCACAATGGCTGATCTTGCGCTCTTAGAAGATGTGGCAAATGGAAGGATTCGGAGTGAACGCATCTTCAGACAGCAAGAAGACTTGCTGGCAAATGAGGACGAGTGGCTTATGAGCCGGTTCCGACTTCCTCGAGCCGTCCTGTTGGACCTCTGTGGTCTTTTGGGCCCAGCGTTACAGAGGAGCACTCGGAGGAAACACGCCGTGCCAGTCCCACTTCAAGTCAGACAACACTAGGATTCTGGCGAGTGGCACTTTTCAGAGGGAATTGGCTGACAGGTCAGGTATATCTCTGCCGACCCTTAGCCGGGTAATGCCAGACGTGTTAAAAGGCATAATAGCTTTGTCCCATGATTGCATAAAGTTTCCATACACGGCGGGTGAACAGGCAAACAAGAAAGCTCAATTTGCAGCTATGTACGGTTTCCCAAATGTAATCGGTGCTATTGACTGCACTCATGTTGCCATAAGGGCACCGAATGTGAATGAAAATGCTTTCATTAATCGAAAGCATTTCCATTCAATCAATGCCCAAATTATTTGTGATGCAGACATTTTGCTCACTAATGTAGTAGCTCGGTGGCCTGGGTCAACCCATGACTCATTAATTTTAAGACACAGCAGTGTTGGACGCAGACTCGAGGCTGGTGCTGTGCGTGATGGCTGGCTTCTAGGTACGTTTGATTAATAGACATTTCACATTTTACTGTACTTCAATGTCTTAACCCTTTCACTAGGGACAGTGGATATCCCCTCAAACAGTGGCTGCTTATGCCTTTCCTCAACCCACATAATGCAGAGGAAAGGCATTACAACATGTGCCACAGCCTCGCGCTATAGTGGAGCGCACCATCGGCCTGTTTAAGGGCAGATGGCGCTGCCTCGACTGCACTGGAGGGAGGTTATTGTACACTCCTGAAAAGGTGTGCCAAATCGTGCTGGCATGTGCTGTTCTACACAATGTGGCACAGCTTAAAAACGTGCCTCTACCCCCTGACGCCGATTGCTGTGTTGGCCCCGACCCTGACCCCCATCCCCAGACATTTGAGCCAAATGCTGCTGCTGTGCGCCAGCGTTTGGAAGTGATGCGTCGCTTGTAAAGAACAAGAAAAGGTGTGGAAAAAATATATTATTTATTCAAGAATTCCCTCATTGCGCAGTTTATTTCATTTAGGACAGTCTTGATTTCGCCCAGCTCCTTTGCCACCTCTCTGACTGAGTTAATGACTTCCCTCTGCATTTCGAGGACTGCATCGGTGAGGACACGTCCACTGCTGGAGGGTTGAGAGCCGCGTGCCGTGGAGACGCTTGGTCCAGACGGCTGCTCAGCTGCAGCCTCTGAACCACTGGCCCTGCTGGAACACCCAGCGACTGAAATAAAGATTGTTCTATGAATAAACTGTAATCGTTTAGCCTACATACATGTGACTTGACTGCATTCATTTTACTTATTTCACTTACCTGTGTCATCTGGTGCATCTGGCGCGTCAGTGTCCCCCTCCGCCTCAGTCACCACTCCACTTAATAGGGATTCCCCAATAATTGCCGCCAGTCTCTCATCAAGAGGGGTCAGCTCCGGTGTCCCCTTTTCCCCACCCGTGGCAGACACACTCTGGCGATGGAGCGCTAGACGCTTTTTTGCCTCGACTTTGATGTCAGACCATTTCTCTTTTATTTCGGCCACAGTCCGAGGTTGTGAGGCTACAGCATTTACGGCGTCTGCAACCTTTTGCCACTCAAGTGCCTTTTTGGCATTAGTAATGCCCACACTGTGCCCTCCAAACAACATTATTCTCCTCTTTTCCACCTCGCCAACGATAACTTCTACTTCACATTGAGTGAAGTTACGTTTTTTTGATTTCCTCTCTGTGTTTGCCATGATTTCGCAATTGATGAATATTAACTTGTGGGCGTTTCACGGACTATTTATGGGCAACTATTTGCGTGACATGAAGCCGCAAAAGCTGCGCTACATTTAGAATTGATTGTGATTTATTAAGGGAAAAATGCGTAGGATGTGCGTGCGCACGGTTTTATAAATCCGAATATTTCTGTGTGTACGCAAGTCCTATGTTTCATCCGTACGCCACTCCTACGTAAAGTTTTATAAATGAGGCCCCAGGTCTCTGCAGCTCTCTGGCAGCAGGTGGGACATCTGATCCAGTGTGACTCTGGGAGGAAAATGTGTAATAAATTCTTCAGGTGATAAAAAATATAAAGTAAATACAGATGATTCTTTAATAAATAAACTAGTGTGGTGAAGTTAATTTTCTAACCTAATTTAATTCAAATAGTGAATCTTTGATATATTCTAGATTCATTACACAAAGTGAAGCATTTCAAACCCTTTTTGCTTTCATCTCGATGATTATGGTTTACAGCTCATGGAAATAAAAACTCCACTATCTCAAAATGTATAAACATTTTAGAATAAAAATACATTTCTGTATTATAAATTACACAAATCACTGGAGAAGAGCTCTCTAATCAGTATTCAAATTTTTTGAGACGGTCCTCTAAAAGATGCTTTAGTGTTTTAATGTTGACAGCACTATTGTCATACGTGGGAGAAAATGGAACAAGGGAGACTCTTTAAACGTTTTTATGTTGTCCTTTTAAGACAGCTGTCAAATGTCCAGTAGCCAAGACTAGCAACATTATTTTAGACTCAAAGTTTAAGCTTTGAGTAGCAGATGTGGAGGCACCAGAACCTCAACATGAATCTTTTGACAAAAAGTACCTTTCTCTCACAAATGTCCTATTCCAGACAATAATCCCACACAGCCCTGCCGACAGCAGCAACGTTACTCAAAATAGCGGTATGGGGAATTAATTAACGTGATGGCAGCCACGGCTGACGTTTTACAAGATATACAGCTTCCATCATGTAACTGAGGACTCTACCGCTAACGTTTGCATATTACGTTTATTACAAGTAACATACTGAGGTGACGTCCAAATAAACGACTCGTAACTGCTCGTAACCAACGGTATGTAAATTAATTTGCTTGAAATTGTTCGTTTGAGCTGTAACATTAACGTTAAGTAAACTTCAGATAATTAATAACTCATTCATAGTTAACTGTTAATGTTGGTCTCAACAAAATCTAACTTTAGTGTTGCAAAATAACTTTACAACATTTATATATTAAAAAGCATTTAAAACCTTGGGAAGTATAATGTCAATAACAGATATGTGAGTTATTTTAATATTTTCCAGTATCTTACCTTGACTGTAGCTGGTAATATCGGTAAACTGGTATCCACGGCCGCAGGTTCCAACCTCCACCGTACAGCACCGCAGAGTAGCATATAGCATTAGCTCCTTAGCATGAGCAAACTCGGTCATGTCGAGCTAGGCGGGAGTGGTTTCAGCAACACGTCACCTCAGTTCCACCTACACCTCTTTGCCCATTTTTGGTTATCCGGGAGTGATGCGCGTTTACGCGCTGCCAAGATGGCGCCTACCAGCTCCGCTAATTTTGAGCTTCAAAACAGCTCTTCAGAAATTAATGGGTGACGTCACGGATGCTACATCCATTTTTATATACAGTCAATGGTGTTAATGTTAAAATTAATAACATTATGTATCTAGTTCCAGTAACAGTCTCCTTTGTATGGTGGCCCGTAAATTTCAGGCTTAATACAAAAGCCACAACACAAACACAAATCCCACAACACGAACACAAAAGCCACAACACGAACAAAAAAAGCCACAACACAAATACAAACGCCACAACACAATTACAACACCCACAACACGAATACAAAAGCCACAAAACAAATTCAAAAACCACAACGGAAATACAAACGCCACAACACGATTACAACACCCACAACACGAATACAAAAACCAGAATGGAAATACAAACGCCACAACACAAATACAAAAGGCCACAACGGAAGTGGGCCACAACGGAAGTTGACAACGAAAGAGACGCTTAGTAACAGTGGATTACTCTTCTGTTTTACCTTAGCTTCTGTCTGTGTTCCTTGTTGGTGTTAGTATAGTATGTTGAGTAACTTGTGTCTTGTCTTTTCTCCCCTCAGTAATCTGCCTGCCTGCTAGTCTCTCTGTTTTCCCTGCTGTCTCTCTGCCTGCCTCTTCTTCTTCTTCTTCAAATGGATTTACAGCAGTTTAGACGCTTCTAGGCGTATTACTGCCCTCCTCAGGAAGTCGCTATAGTGAAAACGTTATTGCTTCAAATTTTTAAATATAGCCTTGTATCGTGTAAGAACTGTAATACTATTTCGACAATCAAGTGATGGTTCTCATTTTGACCCAATATAGATTTGACTGGGAATGATAGAACTCCCAAATCTGATAATCTCTTGAATAAAAAGCTCCTTTCTATATTGTATTTGTTACATTTCAGCAAAACATGTTCCACTGTTTCAGAGTTCCCACATTCACAAAGCCCATTAGGATGCTTTCCAGTGACATATAAGGACTGATTCAACCCACAATGCCCAAGTCTTAACCTACAGATTTCAACAAAATCTCTTCTGGATCCAACAGTGCCTGACTTTTTTAACCTGAGATTGCAAAGAGTAATAATGTCTCCCCTTGGTCTAATTTTCCCATAATCTTTGCCATTCCCCTTCAGTACTCTGCTTAATTTTTTCTTTTAGTTCCACTCTTCCCAATGATATATTTATATCTGTCTCTAACTTCTTTAAGCTTGATTTTGCTAAAAGGTCTGCTACTTCATTTCCTTCAATTCCAGCATGTCCCGGGACCCAGCAGAACATAACATTGCTACCATTAATTGTAATTCTAAATAATACGGCTAGAATTTCACTTATGATATCAGGACGGGCTTTTGCTTTACCGCCTTTCAAGGCCATCAGGGCAGCTGCAGAATCAGAGCAGATTAAGGCTTCTCTTATTTTCACGTCCTCAATCCACCAGCCCAAAGAATTGCTAGTAGCTCTGTTGTAATTCTCTTGCTAATCCTAGGGTCTAGTTGAGCTATATACACCCCAAATCCTGCTCTCCCGCTATCTAGTTCCTTGGCACCATCTGTAAAATATTTCAGATGTGATCCCTTCCCATTGTTCAGATATTGTTCCAATTTTAGAGCAGTCATATGTTTTTTCTTTTCTTGTAAAAAAGTTACATCAATATCCATTTCTTGCATTAACCAATAAGGACTCTGCCTGCCTGGTTAACCTTGATCCTTGTCACCAGTGTTGTTCCCGCCCTCCTCGTTAGCCAGTGCTTAAATGTTTGTTGCTTATGTTTAGCTGTTGCTGGTTCGTTGTATGTATTTTTGCTCGCCGTGTGTCTGCCTGTTTCCTATCTGTTCCTGATCCCTGACGTTTGTTGGAGTATTATCTGCTGGATAGTTTGGACTTTGCTTTCTGTTCCATGGACTTAGTATTTCTGTTGCCCGTTTGGATTACTTGTATTTGTTGACTACCTTTGTTGAATTCTGGACTCTGCCGTAAGTTTTGTTGTCCAGAATAAATCCTCAGAAACTGTACTTGTTCTGCCTCTGTGTCGTGCGTTTGGGTCCTAAAACCTGTTCCTGCCTGAAAACACGGCCAAGTGTGACATCACCTTACATTAGGTACCACAGAGCCCGGCAGAAAGCTTGCCTGTGACAAGATGGCCAGGAACCCAGTCTCCATATCCATCTTCTTTCCGTATGTCGTCTCTGCCCATCTGACCAATTACTTTTCCCTTCTAGTCCCAGTATCCGGAGGTTGTGGAGAAGTGTTGTACCAGAGTCGTGTGGGCTTTCCGACCCTGTCGAATGTTGAGAAAATGTGCATGCAACCTTGTTCTGATGGTGTTCCTTATTTCTCCCATGTACTGTTGTTTGCATTTTTTGCAGGAGATTAGATAGACGCAGTTGGGCGAGGAAAGGCCCAGCCCCTGTTGTGCAAAGTAGCGTACCCTCGTCCGGGGGTTGGTGACCACTGGAGGTTCTGAAATGTTTGGAAGGGGAGTCGTGGACGAGGGGAGGCGTGCCCTCACCAGTAAGTCCCGTAGGTTTGGGTTCTTCTTGTGAGCCGAGATGAGTTTGTAGTGCGACAATGATGGTGTTTTTTGTATGATTGTATTGAAGTTGTTTTTAAGCACCCTGTGTGCCTTGATGCCGAAGGAAGAGAAGATGGAAGTGATGGGGATGAGGGGTTGGTTCTGAGGGTACGGTTCCACATGTGGGTCCCTGTTGGGTAAAACCCCTTTCCGGACCTTCCTGAGGAAGGAACGTGAGTAACCCCTGTGAAGTAAGGCCCCAAAGAGGGTTCTGGTGGCGTCTTCTGAATCCTCCGGTCTGGTACATAGCCTCTGAAATCTTAGGAGTTGGGATCGCACGATGCCACGAAAGGTGTGTCCGGGATGGAAACCTTCTCCTATGGAGGAGGGCATGGGAGTCA